AGGCAATGATAAAATATGAAATATAATGAGGCAATATACATGTAAATTTGGTCCAAGTCTGTTGCTGGTTACCATCAGAAATTGTGAGAGGGGTGTATTAAAAAACCCAAGACAACCTTCATTTAAATTAAGATTCACCAGTTATAGTCATTAAGATGTAATTTGTCCATGTATAACTCAACCCTTGTTGGAAATATTGGCATGTGAAATGCCTACCAGATTTGTCAATTTCACATAGCCAGAGAGATTGAGGCAATGGATGGAAATTCAGTAAGCTGGAAAAATCTGCAAAGGATCAGATACCCAAGCATTTAACATATTACTATGTAGTTTCGAACATGTGTATCTAAATTATTGATGAATTGTGATTATTATTTATAACACACAGAAATAAAAAGACATATTTGACTATCAAATGAAAAGTCAGAATTTCCCTCTTGCACGGGTTAGTACTATTTCAATACTTACAGTAGCTAAGTCTTTAATTCAATATCATCCACAGTTTTCGACATTTCAAACTCAACTTACTAGTCAATTTAAATCAACATTGATGTTGTTATCTTACCGTGAAAAGATAGGTTTCTGATATCCAATATTTAAGACACAGTGAACATTTTAAAATTGGCCCACGATTCACGTGTCAGAATGCTTTTGAGTGCCAAGGGCAAGGGGAGAATACTACCGGTGTTGACTGGAATAACCAGACCCCAAAGAATTCTACTCAATTGGGACTCCATGCATATTAGAAATTACAGTACAAACAGAAACGATTGAATGTAAATCAGTTTATGTGCATCATATTACATTAATATTATTATATGCGCTGTCCATTTCTAGGTGCCAAAGATTAAAGAATTAGCTCCTTTGACCTAACAACAGACCACTAATCAAACCCAAATATCATTTTGCTAAATAAAGATCATCATCAACCATGAGCCAGTCGACCAAAAAAAGCTAATTGAATTCTTCTGACATTCAACTGTTGTCAATTCACTACGCCTGAAGACATCCCTTAGAGATACAGAAAGTCAATGACATTATTCATATAATTCTAGGATTCACACTACACTGTTTTTCTCATGATTAAATTTTGAACAATGATCGTGGGTCATTTATATCATTCATTGTCATTAATTCATAGAAACATAACAAGAATTCTGGATAAATACTATATTTTTTATTAAAATGACTCATAAATTCATAATGTACGCAATTAGCAGTTTAACATGGTTCGTGAACTTTCTTTGATTTCCAATGCTTCAATTTTGTCACATGTGACGTATCACAAACACAAGGCAGGTTATGCATCAAATTCACCTGATATCAGTTACGTTTTATTCCTTTTTGAAAATTAATGTAGCGAAGCATCATTTGCAAATATCAAATTTCTCACAGCTTAATCCACACTAATATGTACTCAGACTGATTTTTTAAATTAAGAAAACAAAATCAAAATACCAACACTAGATAATCTACCGGCTAGAATTCAATCAGATTTAAAATAGGCCCATTAATAACTATTTATGGACAACAGAATGGCATTCAACATATTACATAGAAAGCAGCATACATGTAGATTGGCGAAATTTCAATTTAACATATTTTTGTAAATACGGAACGGAACAGAACCATTTTTGGACTGATATTCATATTCAAGATTCATCTTTCACAGTATTATAATTTGCAAGAGATGACGCATTGAGACTTAAACATAAAGTTGTTCCACTTTTAAACATTAGTTTCGACTTTCATAACCTGTGTCTTTAATTAAAGATACGATCAACAGAAGGTTTTATACATAGTCATTCCCAATAAAAGTATTTGGTATATATGGAAAGTAGAGACGCTCATACTAGAACAATGTCCTGAGCAACATAAAGAGCGATTCTAATAGTCATCAGATTAAACAGCGGAAAAGGAAGTTGGCAAGAGGATAATCCAAGAATTTACTAAGGCTTTGATATTGATGGTAAATGGACAGCAACTAACAACAAATACCTGACAGATAAGGCCTCTCAAAATAGATTCTTGCGGCATGAGGTAGTTTACTTTCTATTAAAATGTTTTGAGGGGGATTTGAATATGTTTTTAGTCTATATCATCAGATCACACATCTTTTGTATGTGGGAAGTGTCTACAAGAAGCAGGGTATATCAATTAAGAATATATTGAATTTTGGTGATTAACTTCTTAGTTGATTTCTTTACTTTCCATTCATACACTTATTTTTAAACAATTTTTAGTTGGGGTAGGGTGTGGCCTCTTTTGACCTCATAGCTAAAAATTATGATGAGTGTCATGCACACAGCATTCATGCATATTATTTCCAGAACATCTGATACCACTTGTCACTTGGCTCATCTATAACAGATTCGTGGGTTCATGTAACTAATTGCTTGAGTCACAATGACATATTGCATTTTTGTGTTTGAATTGTGCATTTACTAGCCATTTAAAAATCTTTACTTAACAGATTAGAAAATGAAACAGATGATGACCCTCAAACTAAACTCATTATAACAAAAACTGACAAGCTATTGTTACATGTTTGTATGTTAACATATTAAATATTAATAACACCTAAAAGCGACACATTCATTCATTTACCACATTTCATTGATTTGTAGCCAGTAAAAAGATCATCAGATATGAACTTTGTGAATTCTTGAATGTCCTTTCTCAAAACTAATTAACTTAAATACAAAACACATTGGTTCTAATCAAATACAGACAAATGTTTAGTTCACAGTCTAGTAACTTTCAAAAACATATACTGTTGTTTGGTAATATAAATGAATATCTCCCTACAAACAGCATTTTGAAGGCTGGTAACAAAGTATGAAATTGATGGGCGACTTGGAATTTAGAAACAAACCTAACTATCCTGATAAGTTTGGAAAATAATTCACAAAATCTTTGACCCACAGATTGTATTCAAGGTTTCGGTTTCAAGGTTTCAGTATAAAGAGTACTAAGTCACCACACATTGACATCCCCTTACATGTATGTTATGATAAACAAGATAATCCTAGCAAGTTTGAAATCCTTTTGTATTTTTTTTTTTGTCAAAGGATCACTACGGTTAAAATGACTTCTTATGCATCAAATTTCAAGGCACTACTTATAATATTGTCATTGACATTAAATCAGTGTTACATATTTGATAAATGAGCCTATGAATTCATTCAAATTTTTTATAGAGTTACTTCCTGTAATCAAGGTAAAATATTTACCTGTGATAATTTAGGAGACTTTTTATGCTGTTTTTTTATAAATAAAAATGGGTCCTGCTGCCCTTTTCAAGAGATGCAGGATTATCTGAGAACCAGAATATCTTTTTATATGGCCTAAAAAATGTCATTTTTGTATGATCTGCCTTTTTAAGTGATGCAGGGTTATCTGTGAACAAGAATATCTTATTATATGGCCTAAAAAAATGTATCGACACAGCCAAGCAATTTATAGTGTAGTTGGATTTTAGCTCCTTTATTTAATATTAAATATTTATTGTTATCTTTAATAATGTATCAAAATGGTCATTATATTCTTGTTGGTTGTTCATGCTTAATAGATCCCATACATAAGATATATGATATAGGATGGATATATAATATGTCAAGAATACAATGGTAAGCCTTGTATTGTTATTTACTGGTAGTTACTGGTAACATATTACCAAACCTAAAAATACACAGGGGGAAAGGGAGTCTGTTAAATACTGTCCATATACATAACATTTTAGAAATATCAATTTAACAAAAAAAATCAAAAAACAAATTTTGCTTAATTTAAAACGCTTCTTTGACTTGGCTAAAAAAATAAATATTGTTTACATTAAATCTATTTTGTCATATATAATTGATTTGGTGAAATGAGTATCTGTTTAAATTTAAAGTTATAATTTCATAGATAGATCCAATGCTGAAATATATAGTTTGTGTTTGATCAAGGATAGTTCAATCCATCAAAACAACCCATAAAATTTAAGTATGGATCTGGTCATAACATCACTAATCACAATAACAGGTTTAGATCAGTTTGTATTCACACTGAAACAAATTGGAATTCGGTTGCAAACTAAATGGTTAGAATTGTTGGTGTTGCAATATATCACATGATCTTGCACCAGAATAATGATGGCAAATATAATGTAAGAATTATCTCTGGAGAAGTGGCATTTCTTGTATGGTGTATTGAGTTGTTTCCCAAAACTCAGATAAATTACCTGAGATATCTATGTTTATTACCATACTATATAACCACATAGGCCTACTTATTTACGCAATCAATATGACTGTAACATCATCAATTCCTTAGCTACATATCATACTCATTTACTGCAGGGCAAAAATGGTTAACAATTAATGAACATTATCCCTATAAATTTTTTATATTACAAATTATTTCTCCCTTTTCAATTAATATCCACATACAGAATCCAGTTCTAATCTTAGCAACTAAATGACATTATAATCACAGCAATCATCCACAGTTCAGAGATAAGTTATCAAGTGAAAACAAGTTAGACAATTGTCAGATATTATCCTGGAAAGCAATACTTTGAATCATTAATGTCAAATGTGCTTTTTACAATACCAAAGCATGTTATATAAATTAAGAATTATGTTTACCAACACAAAGATTGCATGACATTGATAAATTTTTCAAATTTTATAAGAATTTCACTTAATAGGCCGCTATCGGTTATCCTTAAACATCAATTTGGAAAATTTACAAATAACAAAGTTCAAGCTATAAAACACTCTTTGAAAAAAAACTCAAACCCCAACCGATTCTGAATGCTGACATAAAACAGACTTTTTGATTAAAAAATTAATGTTTCTGTTACAATTCAATATAAAATTCTTTTAGATCAGAAATTTCTTCTTTGCACCAAGTTAATAAAAGCCACTTGTATTAAGTACCCAGTATATAATGTAAATAAGTGACTGTCACATGAAAGAAAAATCAATTAAAATACAATAATTAAATGGTCTTACCTCGAAAAGAAACTTTACATAATCTGCTTTCCCTTCCTCGAAGATTCTCCGCATATTTAAGATGTAGAATAAGAGCCATATTGGTACTGTATTACTCCATGAGTTAAGATTTATATATATGGAGCCATATACAGATCGGGATGAAGCCACTGATGTTACGTTACACATGAACAGATCACAACTAAAGACATTCCCTTACACACTCTCACCAAGTCTAGTCCATTATTCAAACCAGCCGTTCCATTCTTTGCTTATTCCTCCCCCTGAAAATATCAATATTATGTTTTGGAATGTCAGGACACAATAGAACTACAGCACATATCAACCATAGAGCAGTTCCAATGGATGAATACAATATAAGGGAGTGAAAAGAATATAGTTATATAGAACTTTTCATTGATTAATATTACATGATTTTCTATAATAATCAACAAATGAAATGGGAGAAATGAAATGACCCCTTTGAATAATCTAAAAAAATTAAAGTGTAAATAAGGATACTGGTAAATAAGATGTTTTTATTTGTCATAAGAGATGGAAATTGTGCTACATTAAAACATCTAACTTGTGTAATTTAATTCACTATTGCATGGATTATAACCTATATTTTACATATAAGAAGTTGACAGTTTTAGTTAAAAACAAAAAATATAATTTATTTGTACCAAGCTTGATCAACTCCTTATCAAAATAACACATTTAAATACTTTATTTTAAACTAAATCAAATAGGTGCTGCTAACCAAGTCATTTCAAGCAATGTCTATTTCAATTTCAAGCTTGTGTGATCTGGAGAAACTCATCTGGGCAGCCACCATTTCTCTCCTGTCAAAGAATCGTGACAAACAGACTTATACAGGACACTGCTCCAATAATTCTATCTGTAATAGTTTTCTATTCCAATGTTAAGTGTCGGTAAACGTACTATGGGTTCTCTGTTGATAATTACTGCCATTCAATAGCTACAATAGTCTCCAGAGGCCAAGTACATCATTAACCATGAATAAATAAAGTGAAAATTAATGTAGTATCATGGTGTTTGAACTTCTTCAACCTGGTCATTTGCCATCTGATTTTTTTGAATATTTGGTTCAGACATTGATAGCTTAAATTAGTCACATGATATGGAAGGAGGGTTAGGATCTGTAACTATTATTATTGGAATAAGACGTTCTTGGCCTGGTCTGCTTTGTAAATCAATGTTTTAAACAGTGGTTGACAACTTACAAATACTCACAACACTGACAACCAGAGCTTGATAGAATGATGCTCCATTATTAATAATGTCTAGTACAGGCCTATTTGTGATTTTTACATGGTAGTTTCCTTAGCGCTCAAGTCAGACAAGGGGTACTTCTTAAATCTAATGGTGGAAAGCAAATCATGGGTGGACGCCATCTTGCTGGCTTAGTTTCAGATCAACACCGAATGCCAAAAAATATATAAACAAGCCAACAGTGAGGCTGATGTAACCGGCCGAAATAAAAAAATAAATAGATGACACATATTAATTAATCGCACATTTTTTTTTTTCAAAAGTATCAAGCAATCAATAAACTGATTATCAACTATACACAAAGTTTCATCACTCTCTATCAGATAGAATCAAAGTTATCTTGTTCCAAAGCATTGACCAATGAAATTGCTTACCTCTGTTTAGCTTTCGCTCGAAATGTTAATCATTAAACTCAGTCAAGACATTCACTTAATAAACATCTACATCAAGTTTAAACATTCAACCACAATTCAAGGCAGAGTTGTTATGTTCCAAAGTCTTGACCAATCAAATTGCTTATCGCTCCTTAGCCTTAGCAGAAGATTCTCATCATCGAACTTAGTCAAGGTAATGATATAATCAATCTATACTCGGAGTTTCATCACTCTCACTTTATTAAAACCAAAGTTATTGTGTGCCAAAGCATCAACCAATCAGATTGCTTATCTCTGCTTACCGTAAGAAGACAATGTTTATCATCAAACCTAATGAACGCCTACACCAGGTTTGAACATTCTACCTCATTTAGATGGAGAGTTATTTTGTTCTAAAGTCTCAACCAATGAAAGTTATCATGTCCCAAAGCATCAACCAATCATATTGCTTATTTCTGCGTCAGTAAAGACCATTCACAATACCGCAAACACAACACAACTCGTAAATGAAAGTATTAGACGTTATACAATGGCGTGGTACTCAATGCGCATGCCAGAGAAGCCTTCGGCATCCAGGCATGTGCATAATAATAACATAGCCTAAAGTTACTATATATAGTATACTGGCGTAATCACTTTTCTCTTCTTTTTTTTTTTTTAAGTACGTAAGTACTAAGAAATACAAAAACAAAATAATGGTTAGCAATTCGAGACATGAAATTAAATGTTAAAAAATTAAAGTTCAACCACAAAGTCTTTTAGATGTTCTGGTAAGTTTTTATGACGTGTGGACCTGCGTAAAATATCTTCCGCTTGTACGACTGGTGTTCCGGAGTTTGGTATAATGTCGGTAGTGTCATTCGATGGCGCTATGAGTGGTGTGTCTGTCGGTTCTGGTGGGACACAAATTTCAGGAGGGATATTCTGGAGCTCATTAAATGAACTATCATTGTCATCATCACTTAGCACATCAGAATAGTTAACGCCATGAGGATTTTGCGTAAATTGGTGTTCTGGGACCTTAATACATTCAGACACCTTAACAGTGTAGATTTTCGAGCGTAGTTGAGTGCTAGTGAACTTTTGAACGTTACACCAGTTTTTTGTAATAGAAACAACAATATAGCGGTCACGAGCAGCTTTCTTACTGTAATCAGAGTAAAGATATACTATATCTCCAACTTTGAGTTCAGCGAGCGGAAGTGTTCCTTTACCACGTGCCACGTGATTAATAGAGCGTAGTTGAGATTGGTCATGGATAAGTTGTTGATTAGAAACTGTGATAGGTTCATGGGAAAACTGATCACGCAAACATAACATCTCCTTTGAGGAAAGACCACATTGTCGTATGCGAGAATTCAAACGAGAACAAACGATGGATATCTTTAAAGGGGTTAGTGCCATGCAATGTGGATCATACTTGAGTAGTTCGTCTGTAAATTCCGAAATGGCCTTCTCTGCTACAGGATTCTTGTTTATGTTTTTATGGCGTCCTACATCAAGATGAATGTTGTATGTTTGCAACAGAGCGTCGTCTACTAGTCCAATGAAGCCTGGTGCCAGGTCAACACGGATTGTTATTTTCTGATTATTCAGTGGTATAAAGTTAAGACATAACTGTACAAGAGCTGACTTCAGAGTTGCTTTTTGTTCATTGTCGACTAGACATGCTGTAGTGTAGGATGTAACGGTTTCTCTTAATAAGAGGACATACTGACGATATCGTTTGATGACATCTGCAGCGAAATTTACACCAATTGTCTCAGGAGGTGGGCAGGAACTTTGTTCGACTAGGCTTGTTGGTACCTTTTGAAGTGAAGCACATAGGTGACAACCTTGTACGATATGATCAATGGCGGAGTCCAGATCTAAGGCATAGAATTTACAAAGGAAGATAAGTTTTAACTGGTGTGCGGATGGGTGACCGAACTTAAGATGTAAAGAAGTCAATAATCCATGGACAATGGATCTAGGAACAACGATTCGTTCTGTTGTAGCCAATAATGGTTCTTCTTTTGGCACAATGAGTAGACCATCTTTGGCGATGTTTACTAGTCGTAGATATCTTTTCACGTCCTTAATGTTAGTTGCTTTTTTCGATGGACGAGTGCCTTGTGTTAAATGGGCGAGAACCCGTCGCAGATCAGAGCAGTCGTGTTGTAGGGACAACCAGGCATGTCGAGATGAATATGGTACGGAGCATTGGCCACTGACGACATCCTGTACGGAGATATTACATACCACTGAGTCGTCGATGGTGTTGATGAAGCTACAGATCTGGCATAAAGGTTCAAAGCATTCAGATGCATTTCTGCTGGCGAAGTCAGAAGAAGTGTTAGCACTGCCAGAAAGGTGAAGAACGGTGACTTGATAACGGCTAGCAGTTGAAAGAAATGTGGTCACTCTAGAGCTAGCAGAGAACTGTCCGCGGCATAACTTCTGGTATGCTTGTACACATGGCTTGCTATCAGTGAGAATTGTGGAACGTACAGTGGATTGGATGATATATGGCGCATAGTGACGAATGGCAGCAGTGATAGAGAGGGCTTCTATCTCACATGGTAACCAGGTGACTTGGTGTTTTTTTAGTTTGGCGCTAAAGAAACCAGCAAGCAAGAGTTTGTCATTACGTTGAGCGTATAATGTGGCTCCAATACCCGGGTCTCTGATGTACCTATCTGTCACAATCCATAACTTGTCATTGTACCTTGGGAGGTGAATAGTTTTGTGGGAAAGTAAGTGAGTCTGTGCTTTAGAAAAGAACGTTTGCATTGTTTCATCCCATGGAATTGTTGCCTTAGATTCCTTTCCAGCAATAGCATTCTCAAGAGGAGTAAGAAAGTTTGAGCACCCTGGTAGTACTCTGGCCAAGACTTTATAAGCTCCTATAAAGGAGCGGATCCCTTTTACCGTGGTGGGGCGGGATGCAGTACTAAGGGTCGAGACGACATGCGGTGTGGCTGAGATGGTCCCCATCTTCCAAATCCACCCGAGTATAGTTGTGGTTTGAGGAGCTACAATGGTTTTACTGGCTGATAATTGAAGATTAGATTGGTGAAGAGCTTTTAGAGTTCGAGTCCAGTTACTTAGAAGTTGTTCAGGGGTGTCTCCTCCACAATAGAGATTGTCGGCTTGCTTTGTTACGATACCCTCTTCTAATAAGTGGCCTAACACACGACACATAAGTTCCTCTAGTGCAGTTTCAGATCCAGGCATTCCCATTGCAGTGCGAGTATATACACGAACACCTTTGTAGGGAGTGACTATGCCGCAGTACTTCATAGACTGTTTAGATAGTGGGATCTGGTAGAAGGCTTTGGTCAAATCAGAGACGATAATGTAATGCCATTGTCCTATGACTTGAAGAGCGGATTGTACGTTGGGCATTAGTGATGGTTGAGGTTTACTATATTGACCCACTTCACCAAACGCGGTTACTAGACGATGGCCACCTCCGGGTTTAGAGAGGAGGAATGATGGGTTTAAGTATTCAACAACAACTCCTACATCTTCGGGTTTTTCTAGTACATGAAGTTGTTCTAATTCATCGAACTTTTGTTGAAGGTCATTGAGTTTGGAGTTAGGATACAGGGGCATTCGTCCT